GGGATCGATGGGGGGAAAAGGGGGGCATCTGTAACGCTTTCAGCAATAAAGGTACATTTAAAAAAAAACACAAGAAAGGGGGCAGAAGTGAGCCTCTGCTCATTTGCCACGCGATTTATTTATTTTTTCTTTAAGAATTGTGTTTAGAGATGGAGAAATAAACAAAGCTGTTTTTTTTTCCCAATACACAGCTGAAGGCGAAATTGAAGATGGAAATGCGGCCGTGACCCCCGGCCGAGCGCCCGTGGAGCGCGTGTGTGCGCGTGGCCCTGCGCGGCTGTCAGGGGCGGGATGCGCTGACCTACTTGCTCGGAGGCGCCTCCCCCGCTGGCGTTTGGGGGAGTTCGCCGAGTGTCACAGCTCTGCCCAGGGCGACTCGCACAGCGAGGGGTGCTGCCCGCAGCTGGCGGTCCTCCTGGTCTCCCCAAGGCCGGCCCTTCATCTGAGCTGCTCTCTCTCTGCACCAGTAACACCCCCGCCTGCTGGCCAAGTGCTCAGCTGAGCAGGTGCACCCGGCCCTGCTCCCCCTGCACCCACTAGCGGCACCAGCGCCTGACAGGTCACCCTGCCCGGCTGGGACCCTCTGCACAGTCAGGCCCCCCCCATTGCCGCCGAGCCACCCCTTGTCCACTCTGCACACTGGACCGTCGGCAGCACTCCCACCCTGGTGACCATGAGGCCTCCCCCTCTCGTCCTTTGGCCTGCCAGCCCCAGGAGGGCAAGGACCAACGCGTGACGGGCTCACATCACGGTTAGTGAATCTGTGAATGGACAGACGGACACATGGACAGGTGCACGTGTATTTTTGCAGGTGGGGCCAGCAGAGCCTGGTCCCTAAGGCAGCCGATCGGAGGCCATGCAGGCGAGGACTCCGTGTGGGCATCCTGTCCTGTCCAGTCCCGTCCCCTCGCCCACGCCCGCTTCTCTGCGGAAACCTAAGGCGCGCTCGGCGGGGTAACCGGGCCTCTGCCGGGCAGCCCACAGACTGACAACGGGCAAACAACACGCGGCCCCGCTGGCTCGCGGCCTGGGGACCACNCGTGCGCTTGGGGGGGTAACCGGGCCTCTGCCGGGCAGCCCACAGACTGACAACAACGGGCAAACAACACGCGGCCCCGCTGGCTCGCGGCCTGGGGACCACCCGCCTCGGGGTACCCGC